ACCAAGTTATGTCACGACGTTTCGATTGTTAGTATCCACAATCGTCTTCGGGTGAAAACTGAATTTATTCCTCCGAGATCCGACTATTTCTAGGCCATTCGAGTACATTCACCTATCCCCTCTTCTCTCTCTCTCTCTCCGCTTCATTGGTTTTTAGCGGGAGATGACCGTTTGGCGAGAGTTGGCCGTTTTTCGTTTGATTGGAGATTTCTACATGTTACGTATCTCTACGCTAGCTTGACTAAATGCGTTGTTGGACAACATATACGAGGATAATTTTCGGTGCTGAGTTTCCAGGAATGAAATTTCGCAACGTTGAACAGTGCATTACTATCATTGCCTAATGTCTGGTTAATTTTTCGGTCTGTCTCGGCAATTTGAATTCGTATAGAAAAATTGTCCAAAAATTGTTTAACATCATATAGTATTAGGCTGAATAGAGCCAAAAAAATAATATTTGGAAAAGAAACACATAATATCAAAACGGACAAAACTTCTGAAAGTACCAATATTTGTGACACTTCTTTAATCGTTTTGTAGTCTCATTTTCCAATTATGAAGTTGTTATAATCGAAAGTGGGTTACCTACTCTGCTCCCGAGAAATAATTTTTGGCAAAACATGTTGTCAAGTTAGAGAGAACTGATAAATCTTAATGTTCGTCTTTGCAATATGATATTGAACCTGCTATGGATAAACAAGAGTTATCGAGGTCATCCCAATGGCGTAGTTGAAGGAGGTTTATGAAAATTTTCTGTCAGTTCAAATTTTATAACGGAGAGGTTACTTTTGTTTCCAAAAGATACATTTCCACACATATTATAACATGTAATTCCTATTCAATCCCCAGCAGTAGTATATGTAATCTCCATGTATTGCAACAGAAAAAAGGCTCAGCAGAATTTGATTCTTGAGGCTATCAAAGACAAAAAAGTTATGTCCCTGTTCAGTTCTCTAAAGAATGCCATTAAACATCTATATTTCAAAATGACATTTTCAAATATTGAGTTCAATATTCTTAATTCTAGTTCGTATTCGAAGAAGTTTTTAACGATATATTCAAAAATTGTATTTTCGTACTTCGTATTAATGGTTGTCAAGGGTATTAAAAGAGGATGTAGCGTATTAAAAATATTCAATACACTAGTGTTAAAAGTATTTTTAGCAATAAACAAAACGTAATTATTCAATTTTCAAGGAA